TCTGCTGTGCATGGGGTCGCTATGAGTCGGTTCCGACTCGATGGCACCTGACAACAACAACAACAACAATGGACCTGCCTGTTAAACTCTGATATCTCTCTGCTGATATTTATCCCCAGGTTCGAGCAGTGTCCCAGTTCTGCTCCCAGTCCATGTCTGCACTCAGCAGAGATGTTGAGGCAACCCTATATCCAGGAGACCTAGGACTCCTGGGATAGGCCAGTTTGGCCTGAAGGATTTCCCCATAGCCTTGTTGGATTTTCTTAGAACTGCACTGCAGTATAAGATTCTTCCACCCAGCCCTCCTTCCTTGCCTCTGTCCTTCACAAGGATCACATCTCCATGCTGAATCGAGCATCCTGTCCATTTTCCTTCACTGGTGCTGTTTCGTGGCAAAGAAGGACAAGCACAACCATCAACTCACTGAAGTCTTAGGAGTATTAAATGAGCGGATGTTTGAAAACTATCTAGCCACATAGTTGACAATAATCTATTCAACTAATATCCATTGAGTTTGTATTGTTTACAGATTTTGGACTGGGTGTCTGGGGCATATAGTAAGCAAAGCAGAGAAGCATTTTGCCAATTTCTACAGCTGAGGAAAAAGTATCAACTCTCCCAACAGGACACAAACAGACCTTCAAAATCTGACATGCTTAGGCTAAATTCAGTTCTGTGCACCTGAGCTTACAATCAAAAGAAACTTCCTTTCCTCCTACAGCTTTGTTTTTTTCACCCTTAATACCTCTGCAACCTTTTTCTTTGTCCTGGAAATGCATCCTCCCCACACTTGCACAGATATTTTGCCTGATAAATTTTTGCACATTCCCAAAACACAGATGTCAATCTTAGGACTAAGGTGTGTCTGAACCAAGCCATGGTATTTTCAATAGCCTCATATGCATGTGAAAGAATTATGGAAGAATTGATAAATCTATTTGAGTTACGGTGTTGGTGAAGAATATTAAAAGTAACATGGACTGCCAGAAAAACAAACAAATCTGTCTTGAAAGTACAGCCAGAATACTCCTTAGAAGCCAGGATGAAGAGACTTTAGTCTCTCATACTTTGGGGTATCCTCAGGAGGGAACAGTTCCTGGAGAAGGACATCATGCTTGGTAAAGGGGAGAGTCATGGAATAGGAGGAAGAGTCCAAGAAGATGGATTGGCACAGTGGCAGCAGCAATGAGTACAAACATACCAACAATTGTGAGGTTGGTGCAGGACCCCGCAGTTGTGCATAAGGTCGCTATGAGTCTGAACCAATTTGATGGTTTCTGACAACAGGTTACCCAGAACGAGCTCTGGTTGTGCAAGTGGGTTGGCTGTGTTAGCCTAAAGGTTGACTGTTAGAACCTACCCAACCGGTCACCAAGAGAAATCTTCTCCGGTAAAGATTTGACCAAGAAAATTCTTAGAGTAGTTCTATTGTCTTAACACATGGGGGCTCCGTGAGTTGGGGGTGACAACTCCAACAGACAGAGCAAGCTTGTTGCCACAGATCTCACCTTGTAAAAGAGCTGCTGGTGGTTATTGTTAAGTGCTATCGAGTCGATTTCAACCCTTAGCGAACCTGTAGAGGGTTTCCAAGGAGCTTGAACCGCCAACCTTGCAGTTCAAACAGACTTTGAGTCCTGCGCATTACCCACAGTGCACACATCATGACTCCAAAGCACTGGCTACATGGTGCTTTAATTGATTATAATCATGTCTCTGTTAAATTGTAACTTCCTCTAAGCAAATCCAATGTAACCATTGCTTGGCACAAGGTTGTTGTTATTGTTAAGGGCCGTCGAGTCGGTTCCGACCCATTGCGAGCCTGTATAGGGTTTCCGAAGACCGGCTGGTGAGCTTGAACCGCGGATCTTGGGGTTCAAACAGACTTTGCAGTCCAGCTCCAGCGCATTAATGCGCAGCGCCACATCAGGATTCCCTGGCACAAGTCAGCCCTCAGTAAGTATGTGACGAGTGAGAAAGGAAACTGGGAAAGGCGACTTTCCTGAGAGGACCGCTGGACCCGCGACAAGGGGCGCTGATGGGCCTGGTGGGAGAGGGCTCCGCCTGGGACCGGTCGCGGCACGCGCAGACCGAATCGCGGTCGCCGCAGGCGGACACATGACTTGGGCTCAGCCTCCCGCCACGCCCGCTTCCCAGCACTGCTGCTGGCGGCAGCCTCCCGGGGTTGCGGAGAGCGCGGCCAGCGAGCGTCACGGCCTTGCACGCTCCCCTCCTCCTTCCCCTCCTCCCGAGCTGCGCCAGGAGGGCCTCCGCGGCGGAGCCAACCCGACTTGCGGAGGAAACCAAAACCAAAGCCGGGCCTTTCGACTCCCGTGTCCAGCCTGCCTAGCGCAGAGGGGGCCCCGAAGCCGAGCGCTGGGAGTCAGAGGGCGTGGAGGGTCTCCGGACACAGCTGCGGTAGAAGCTTACTCCTCCCTAATCGGTTGCTGGCAGGCCAGGGACGGCCGGTGAGCTGCACGCAGAATGGGCAGGTGCTGTTTCTACACCGTAGGGACGCTGTCCCTGCTTCTGCTGGTGACCAGCGTCACGCTGCTGGTGGCCCGGGTGTTCCAGAAGGCGGTGGAGCAGACGATCCAGAAGGTGAGGCGGGGCGGACTGTGTGTGTGCGCCCTTCTCTGCTGTACCTTGGGCAGGGAAGAGCCTCACTTCTGGTCAAACCCTCTAGGCTATAGGCATCCTTTCTTCTCCCTCTTCTTGCAGATGGTAGGTAAGGGTTAAAGTGCACGGGGAAGGAGAAAATACTGCTTCTCTTCTGTGAAATACGACTGTGGCTCTAGACTTTTAAAAAAGCTTTCGCTTTTGTTCTGTTATTTGCAGCACTCACCCCCACCACACCCCAATCTCTGTTGGACCCACACTCATTTCCTTCCTACTTCCTAAAGATACAAAATGAAATGAAAGACACCACGAAGAGGCAGGTGAGGTGATACCAGCTGCTTGCTGTGGCCTTTGAAGTGGTGTGGGGCTCGGGATGAAAAGTGTATGTGGAGTCTATTGTGTCCTAGCCTCCTGGCGCTGCTGGGCAGGGTGGTTGGCAGTCAGACCTTTGGGCTGGGTGACAGACACTTCAGCACATCGCAATCTGTGCTTACCGCTGCATTGACTGGTTTCTTATCTTGTACCAACTTGTGCTGTTTTGGCTCGCTAGCTACTCTTGCTCTTCTCAAGCAACCGTAATCTTTAAATTAAATCTTAAAAGAATCGAAATCTTAAAATCTTAAAAGAATCGGAATCTCTTGCCCCTGAATGAGAGCTAGTCGCTTACTATGATTTCTCCATTTTTGGATTTCACCTAACTCTGGAAGAAGGAACCGGAGAGAGTTCCTTGGATCACTTTTTCCTTTAAAAAAAATACTTTCTTGTTAGCACCCACAAATGCGTGTATAACCTCTCCCACTGGCTGCTCTCACTTCTGACCCCTGTACTTCCTGCTTAGTGAAGTCTTCTTTCAGTTGGCAAGGAACATATTCCTATAATAGAGGTTTCCAGAAGCATTCAATTAATTGGAACTTGACATTAAAGACAACTTTTTTAAAAAAATGTACCATGCAAAGTATAACTTAATTTTTTTACAGTTCATATTATATACATATATATTGTTGTTGTTAAGTACTGTGGAGTCGGTTCCAACTCATAGTGACCCTGTACAGGGTTTCCGAGGCTGTAAATCTTTACGGGAGCAGAAAGCCTCATTTTTCTCCCACGGAGCAGTTGGTAGTTTCGAACTGCTGACCTTGTTTCGAACTGCTGACCTTGCGTAATTCGTAACCACTACACTACTCTCTCTCTCTCTCTCTCTCTCTCTCTCTCTCTCTCTCTCTCTCTATATATATATATATATATATACACTCTCTCTCTCTCTCTCTCTCTCTCTCTATATATATATATATATATATATATATACACACACACACACAAATATATACAAGTTTCAGAGCCTGAAACTTTTGTTTTCCTCTTCATTCCAAGGAAACAAACAAACTGAATCTTTTTTCCACTCACAATCACCTCCTATCCATGGTGAGATATTTGTGAGGATGTAAACTTACCTTTTGACTCTTGGTGTGGTGCTGTAGGATCAGCACTGGACTATGAACCACAAGGTCAACTGCTCAAACCTACCATCAGCTCCATGGAAACCCTATACATGGTCGCTATGTGTCGAAACTGACTCAGTGGCTCTTAACAACAACAAACTTACCTGTGGGTGACTAGAATTCAGCGATCCAGGTGTAGTTAACATGTGAATTTTCTTGTGGGGCTTTGAAAGCTTGTGCCCGAATTGTCCCATGAGATAGGTGATCTTCCTATTGTCTCAGATATTAACACAAAAGCAGTTGCTCTCCAAGTTGACTGACTCACAGCTAGCTACCCCCATGGAAGTCAGAACAGAACTGTGTTCCTTGAAGTTTTCAATGGCTAGCTTTTCTGAAGCAGATCATTAGCCCTCTCTTTCAAGATTTTTCTGGGTGTACTTGAACCACCAACCTTTTGCTTAGCAGGACCTTAATGGAGCACATTAACCATTTGTACTACCCAGGGATGCTACCTCAGAAATGGGCACCCAATGAATAAGGAAGACTGAAAAAGAATTGATGCTTTTGAATTATGGTGTTAGTGAAGAATACTAAATATACCATGAACTGCCAGAAGAACCAACAAATCTGACTCAGAAGAAGTCTACCTAGAAGGTTCCTTAGAAGTAAGGATGGCAAGACTTGTTTTACGTACTTTGGGCATGTTATCAGGAGGGACCAGTCCCTGGAATAGTCATGCTTGGTAAAGGAAAGGGTCAATGAAAAAGAGGAAGATCTTTACTGAGATGAATTGACAGTGGCTGCAGCAGTGATTGTGGGGATGACACAGGACCTGACAGTGTTTCATTCTGTTGTACATAGGGTCACAGAGTATGAACTGACTCGAGGGCCTCTAACAAGAAGAACAAGGTCTCCATGAGTTGGAATCAATTCAGCCACTGGTTTAAGATGTTCTGAGGTTTCCTTCAGGCATGCTTGTCGGGTCCCCATTTGTTGGCAGGAGTGGAGTGGCTATGAGCCTGTTTGACTGGGCCCTGAGTTTGCTTTGGTATTTGGTGACTGGCTTTTGCCAAGTGGTGTTTTCATTGGGAAATGAACTTTTTTTCTGAATGGTAACAGCACAGAGGAAGTGAACTTTCAGAATTACCCAACCCTAGCTGAGAAATACCTTGAAATGTGTGTATAAAACTTAATTATAGGATTACCATATTTTCACATTTAGTGTGTCCATGTAAATAATGCACACATGCATGTAACACACATAATGTTCTTGGAAACTAACATGCAAAGGGGGTTGTGAGGTTTGCAAAATCATATAGCACATGTGTTAGTTGAACAAAAATACTGTAGTTCAGTAGACAGATTTGGGAATGTTGTAAGTTAACTAGAAGTCATAATTGCCATCTGCTCCTTCCTGGTTGACGGACGGGTAGGATGATCGCATGGGATAGTGGGAAAGAGCATAATATTCCTGGAATATAGTTCATGTTGTTGGCTGCCCTTGACTTGGCCTCGGACTCATGGAAACCTCCTACACAATGAAATTGGGTTGCTGGGATTCATCGAGTTTTCATTGGTTGATATTTTGGAAGTAGGTTGCCAGGCCTTTCTTTCTAGTCTTAGTCTAGAAGCTCCATTCAGCATCATAATAACATGCGAGTTTCCACTGGCAGACAGACAGTGACTGCACTTTCGTTGCATTGTCTGGACATCAAACCCGGGTCTCCCTGCATAGAAAGTGAGAATTCTACCACTCAAATTGATATCATTTCCTAAGTACTAATTCTATATCCCAGTGCCTCCTTGGGCTATAGAATTAGTGCTTAGAAAATGATATCAATTTTATTTTTATTAGAAGCCGTATAAATAGAAAAAAGTACATGCAATTTGGAGTCAGACACCAAAAAAAAACAAAAAAAAAACAAAAAACCATGGCTATGAAGTCCATTCTGACTCATAGTGACACTGTGAGACAGAGTAGAACTGCCACACAGGTTTTCCAAGATAGTAAATCTTCACAGAAGCAGACTCCTCCTTCATCTTTTTCCCACAGAGAGACTGATAAATTCAAACTACTGACCTTTGGTTAACAACTGAACGTTAACCACTGTGCTGCCAGGGCTCCTGGATCCAGACACACTATATTTAAATCTAGTCTTCTTGGCACTGAAATAAGCATTGGGTTGCTAGGCAGAAGATTGGCAGTTCAAACCCACTAGCTGCTCCATGGGAGAAAGAGAAGGCTTTCTGCTTCCATAAAGATTTCCACTGTAGAGCAGTCTGCTATAGGGTCTCTCTATGAGTTGGAATAGACTTGACAGCAGTGGATTTTGTGTTTGTTCATGTTTAAATCTAAGTTTTACCATTTGCAGACTTTGTGACTTTGGGCAAATTCCTTAATTTATTGAACCTTTAATTTCATTACTTAGAAAAGTGGGGATAGTTACCCTTGATGCAATGATGCATTAGCATGACACTCACAAAGCTTAGGCTTCAGGGATCCTCGTTGCATAGGCCCTTCTAAGGCTTGGTACCTTATTTTATACCCCAGATTTTGTATTTGGTTTCTTAGAGAGGGCCCCTTCAAATTATTTAAGCTTGGTGACCCACAAAGCCTCATCTGTCTCTGTATGTGTGCTATTGTGGGACTAACTGGGGTGACCCTTGTAAATACTTGACACCGTATCAGACCTGGAGTAGGTGATCAATATTTGGCAACTGTCATTATTGCCATTATTATTATGGTGACACAGTTCATTCATAACTTGACTTTAATATATGCTGATACTGCTAATGCTTAATTATTTCTTTCAAAGGTTATCCAGGCCTTTGTGTGTCAAGGAGAGGAAAAGGAATGAAACTTGAATGAGTAGGTTTCGTTAATTGTGGGAAGCTTAAGAAAGTAATTACTAGCAGGAGAATTTGTCTAAAGCTGTAATCGTCCTTGAGCCCTGAAGTGAGTGACCAGAGGATACTGGAGGGAGATTTTAATTTATCCTGGTGAATTTACCAAGTGGGAAAAAACCAAGGCAATTTGGTTCCATTCTCAGCCTCACTGGTGACTGCCTTGTAATTACAGGCAAGACCTGTAATTGTTATTGCTTCAATGTTTTCATTTGCAAAGGCGTAATAATACCTCCCTCACTACCCACACTCACCTGTTGTTGTTAGGTGCCATTGAGTCGATTCTGACTCATAGTGACCCAATGCATGACAGAATGAAACATTGCCCAGTCCTGAGCCTTCCTCACAATTGTTGTTATGTTTGAGCCCATTTCTGATGCCACTGTGTCATTCCATCTCATTGGGGGGTCTTCCTCTTTTTTGCTGACTTTACCAAACATGATGTCCTTCTTCAGAGACTGATAACATGTCTGAAGTTTGAGAGACTAAGTCTTGCCATGCTGACTTCTAAGGAGCATTCTGGCTGTACTTCTTCCAACACAGATTTGTTTATTCTTCTGGGTGTCTGTGGTACCTTTAATATTCTTTTCCACCATCACAATTCAAATGCATCAGTTCTTCTGTGAGCTTCCTTATTCA